TTGGAGCCGTAACGTTTTTCCAACTGCAAGCTAAAATGTCTGATTTAAAGAATTTGAGCTGTGATCCGAAGTATAAATACAATATTGAAAAGCAGCAGAAGCAAGTCCAGTTCTAACGTACAGCCCAACTGTGCACATATCTTCAGTGAAAGCAACAGGGTTTTTTCAGTGAGCTAGGTAACTGCTTGGATAATAAATAGTAGCAAGGGATTGCCTTTAAACCCTGTGTTATTAAACACAGTAGACAGTCTGTTTTAGAAGTGCCTCAATGATATGAGCTTTATTTATGAGCTCAATGTTTCCCAAAGACTGTAAGTTTAACCTGTAGTAGCTGAACTTTAGTGCTAGCTGTATCTTTGACACAGGAGAGCAAACTTCTGCTATTTCTGCTATGGTCTGCCACAGCTACTATTTTTGGAAGGGGAAAAAAGAAGGGGAGAAATTTGACGTCAATCATTTGTGCCGTACAAAGCTAATGAATTTTTAGTGAGGATAATAGCATGGCAAATAAACTATGGCTTACTGAGACCACATAAAAAAGCAGTCTTGCACAGAATAATTTCCAACTTGGTTTTTCACTGTAACATCACACTGAGCTAAGCCAAGGTTTATCTGAACTGGAACTCATGGTTAAGCTAACCATGAGCTGTAATCAAGGTGTGGTAACAACTCGTGGTGAGGAGAGAGCAAAACCACTCATCCCAGCATGGATGACATGCTAAGCCAAACCTTGGTTTACTGCAGCAGTAAAAAAAGACCAGGGAGGAGCTAAGTGGCAACATGCTCCTCTCCAGGAGCCCATACAGTCTTGGTAAACCATAGTTTGGCTTACAATATATGCGAACCAGCTCAGGGTCAATGGAGCTCACATGAAATAATTAGGTTGTATAGTCTGGGGCTCTAAATTGAGACAGATAAGATTTTTAATGGCTTAAATTTTTAAGTTAAATTTTAAGTGCTTTTCACTATTCCAAGGCCCCTTGTTTTCCACGTTTCTTACAGAAGAATAGCTATATGGTAACTCTTCTTCTCAGTACCTAGGCAGCAAGATAGTCATCCAACTCAGACAAGAGTATAGGTTACAGAAGGCAAGCAACCAGACAAAAAGAAAGTACAAACATTAACATATAACAGCGAAACAGTCCTGTCTTAATCTATATAGAAAGAACAAGCTCCTTAACAGACTTAAAGTTTAAATTAGATCAACAATAGTAGTAGAGCTACTATGTACGCTGTTTATGAATAATCATAAGTAAGCTGATGCCCAGTTATATCAGTGAAAATGAACCTTTCAGGGCTGAAATACTAAGCACAAAGTAGAAAACCTTGTTAAACATACACATATAGACCTAGTGATATTTGTAATAAAAGGTGGTGATTAAAACTTTGATATTTGCCTGCATCAGTGATTGCTCTGAAACAGAACACCTGTTCCAAACATGCTAAACATGCTAATTCTCTTTTAGTTTCAAATAATTTCCAGTTGAAGATTTGCACTTCATAATGAGATGATTCTGGATCACTTTCACCAACTAATTTAAGTGGCTTGACTCACCACTGAATTAACCATAATTAGTCCTTCTATTAGAATATGTAATGTCACATTGCAATTTGAACAGAGGACTTAAACACAAAATAAATAAAAGTTTAAGTGAGTAGAAAGTGGGAAAGCCCATGAGGGGTCAGCTAGTCTTGAGTGTCGTCTACACATACGAATAATGAGGTAGCAGAATTATAAGGAGTAAAAGTTGACTGTCGCTTCAGATCCTGTTGGATGATATCAGGTTTTGTTAGTGCTGCCATATGCAAATAGAAAGCTAGCATGTTAGGGAGAAAAGTTCTAATCCAGCCTTCTTGCTGTTGCGCTAGTTTTCTATTTGCATAGAGGTTGGGGGGGGGTGGTAAAGTTATTATGGTAATTTTAACAAAAGTTATCCACTTGCACAATCCTTCCTAGCACCTCATTCTGTCAATGTGTAGCCAGGACTTGAAACTATCTAGTGCTTGTCCTGTAGGAATGAATTTGAAAGATGGGACTATGTATTATGGCCACCAGCCATGTGTGTTGGCTGGTGGCCATAATATATAAGGAATCCTTATTCATAAAGTTGCTTACTCCTCACCATTAATAAATATAATGTACACTACTGAAGAGTAATAAATGGAGTCCTTAAGAGATTAGTATCTACTGCCACCTTGCTACTTCCTATGTTATCTAGGCAAGATGGAAATGCTGTAACACAATAATGGTCATTATGTCCAAAAAAGGGGCCGCTTACTAGAGGTCTTCTATGTTCAAGAGACACTTTCAAACCCACTCTAAAAACAGGATGCTGGACTAAATGGGCCGCTGAACTGATCCTGCAGGCTCTTCTTATGTTTATTCTACAGATGGGCATCTCTTACTAAACCAATAACACTGGTCCCACCATGGTTTAAAAATGAAGTATGTGAGAGACAAAGGTTGTTACTTCTGACTAAATCTACATGGTTTTAGCAAGGGAGTAAAAGGGGGGGGGGAGAAGTAGTGGAAAGTTATTGCTGACACTAAAGGAACTGGCAGCCATCACCAATATGTGTACTGAAAGAGGCCTGGTACGCTGAAGCTACACACCAGGAGTCCCAACATGGCACACCAGGATGCAATTTACAGCTTATGTCTACAAATGAACTTATATGGAACCAAGTTTGTAATGTTTTATTGAAGTTCTGCGGGGAGGAAGCAGCTGTTTATACAGTCTCTGTACAACTTATCTACAATTCTCTCTTCATACATCAAGACAGTTACTTTTCACTTACTGTTATGGTGCACAGTTATGCCAAAGCAAAAGCCCTGGAAACAGCAGAGCCAGGTTTGTGATTAAAAATAAAATATTAAGTATTATATAATGCACACCATACATATTCAGCAAGGCGTCAAATCCATACAACCATTAAATTAAGGTGAGAGCAAGAGATCAGTTTTCAAAGATTCTCCAGCTTGTGGGGAAAGCTAGACATGACAGAATCAGAATATGGGTTGCTGCCACATTCCTATAAAACAGGGATGAGGTTATTCAGTGATGCTGTTGAAAAGCATAGGAAGGGGAAAGGGGATCCTTTAAAAGAAATCTATGCCCAAAACTTTCCCTCCCTATTACATTCCTGCCCATCAGAAGACAAACATCTCGGGGGGAGGTTCAGTGAGAAATAAAAGTAAACAATTCAGTATCTACTACCACTTATTCGTCTTCCCTTTATAAAATTCAGCAGGACATGACAACTACATCCTGTCAGAACGCAAAATATACTTAAGTCTCCAGGACATATATCAGAATTGAGCCCGACCTCCAGATGAAAACTCAAGTTATATGGAAAATGCTAGAACACAGATTGGGACGACTGAAACACAGTGGTAAGCCATGGCATGAGCTTTGGGCTTACGCACTACCTCCTTCCCTTGCCTCTCCCTCATGGCACTTAGAAACTTCCAAATTGTAACCTGCCTAATTATGCCAAAATGACCAGCTATAATTGCCAATAAACCACAAATGTGGTTTTTTTTGTTTTTGTTTCTGCTGCATGCAAGGGAAGGGAAAGGCAAGGAGGGAACAAGCTTTATATCTGAATATCCTTAAAGTGAAACAAGTTTTGAGGTTTATTTCGTATCACACACTTGAAGAGAAATGCTACTTTTAAGCAATTCTTTAAGTATTCCTTTATTCAGGGGGGGGGGGGGGATAACTGGTTTTGAGAAACACCGGTACCTCTCTGTGATTTACATGGCATGTAAATGCCAACCCTCCATACACGTTATACCTACTTGTTTTCCAAGTTGGAAATGGGGCCAAACCATTATTCAATATGTTAAGTGTTCCATTTCTACAAACAATACCTTACTTTTACAGTGGTACCTCGGGTTAAGTACTTAATTCGTTCCGGAGGTCCGTTCTTAACCTGAAGCATCACTTTAGCTAATGGGGCCTCCCGCTGCTTCCGTGCTGCCAGAGCACGATTTCTGTTCTCATCCTGAAGCAAAGTTCTTAACCTGAAGAACTATTTCTGGGTTAGCGGAGTGTGTAACCTGAAGCGTATGTAACCCGAGGTACCACTGTAATTCATTTCATTCACTAGTAGAATTATTATTTGCCATAGCTATTTTCTCGCATTAGGAACAATTAACTAATTCTACGAAGTTTCAGACACTACAATCCTACATACAAGTTGTATCGTATGCAATTCCAACTGATTTTGACAGGGCATTAACTTGCACACGTGTTACTACATCTTACAACATAATTTATATTTCTGTTTTGCTGGTTTAAAAAAAGATCTGCAACTTTTCCTTGGAGAATCAAATAAGCAGTCAGTTTGCATAGTGAATTCCAGGCTCCTGAACAGAATCAGAACAACATTAGATGAACACACACATTGTACATATTAATTCAGGTAATAATACATTCAATTATTCTTTAGTTGCAGGATATAGCCACATTCCAACTTAGGCATTGTAATCAAGACTTTTAAGTAGTGATTTATGACTTAAACCATGTACACATTTATTCATCCATTCACAAGAGACAGCTAAAATAATGAGAATAATTAGAGCTGCCAACCACAACTGTTGGTGAAAGACAAAAGTTGAGCACAAGCCAATGTAACTTTTAGTACTGCAATCTGTAAGCTGTTTCTTATACTGTATAGCTGAAACTCAAGGTGCCACTTGTGTTCTCCACACACATACTAGGACTTTTTACACTGGGACACTGGGGCTTTCCCATTTCCAACCCAGGCTCTTGCATCACCCAAAAACACATTCTTGATGGTCCAGGGACCCTCTGTTCCAGCAGTCAATTTAGTGCAAGCAAAAAGGAGTCAGTATTTTGTAGGCATTGTTAATGTTGAGCATATATAATCTACTATTTTGCTATTGAGACTTAAAAGCAGAAATGCCCATATCATAGTTAAGTATTATCATTACACCAATACCATCACTAAAGGATATTCTTAACAGCACTTACCAGCAACACTTGTAATGGTGACTGGAACTCCTTGCACTTGAACACCTGCAGCACCCAAGTTGGCTACACTTACTGTTTGAAGATTAGGCACTGAAGCAATCTGGGCAGCATTTAGCGTTATTGGTGTACCAGCAACAGCTACTGGTGCAATTTGAGCTATAGTACCACCACTTGAAGATACAGGGGTAATGGTTAGTTGCTGGGGCAATCCAGCATTTTGTACTTGAAGATTTGAAAGGCTTTGAAGATTTTGGACCTGTACTGTGTGCCAGCTGATCTGTCCTGATGGGGTTAAAGTTGGTGCTCTTATGAGAACTTGAGTTGGACTCACTGCTTGTAACTGAACATTTTGCAATGGCTGCTGCTGAATTGTCTGAATAGTTTGTCCCGACTGGAGCTGAAAAGACTGTGGAGAAATAGCCTGAATGATCTGCTGCTGTGGCTGCTGGATCTGGATCTGCTGCAGAATAGGCTGACCTACTATTTGCACCTGCTGCAGTGAGTTTGTCTGATCCTGCACATTTTGCAATCCATTAGACTGACTAGAGTTCTGAGTCTCTGTTTCTGATGTGGCTGTTTGAGGTTCTTCAGTACTAGACTCAGAACTTGTTGCTGTGTTTGCATACCGGCCTGTTTCTGCTGTACTTACTAAAGTTTCACTGCTTGTAAGCGAAGTGGAGGCAGTAGTTGTGCAAGTGGAAGAAGGAGAATCTGGCATAGTACTAACAGCAGTGGTTGTGACAGGTGTGGACAGTAGCTGATTTCCATTGGAAACTCCACTATCACTGGACTGTGTAACCTGTCCAGTACTACCGCTAGCAGCAACATTTATTACAGGTAATGCTAGAGTCACTCCCCCAATGTTTATAGGCAATGAAGTTACAACTTGTGCCTGAGTGCCGGCAATAGGCAGCTGCAATGGAATAGAAACACCAGGCCTAATCTGGACTGGCACTGTTTGATTTGCCAAGTTCTGAGCAATAATATTCCCAGAAGCTGTCCTATTTGTAGCTGTAAGAATAGCTTGATTATTTCCTGCAGGGATGAGCTGGATTTGACCCTGTAAATCTTGCAGAGTTGTAGTAGTAGCAGGATTGATCTGAATTTGTTGACCTTCTGTCGTTTGAATCTGTGGAATCACTTGGTACTGAACAGTACCTCCTGGATTCTGTACTTGTATGACTTGAAACTGTCCTGGAGTTGCCGCAGAAGAATTGCTTGTCTTCGTCTTTGAAGGGGATGCATTTCCGTTGTTACTACTGGAGGGACTTGCAGCACTAGAAGCAACAGAAGGTGCCTGTTGGATGTTGTTCTCTTTTGAAGTAGGAGGAGCAGCAGCAGCCGCAACAAGCTGCCAAGCATTTCCAGCAAGCTGAGTCGTTACTAATTCTAACTGTTGTGGCTGATTTTGAAGTTGCACCAAACCTTGGCTTGGATCTATAATAAGCTGCTGTCCAGTTGCTTGATTCTCACCAGGAGTCCCTATTTTGCTGCAAGTTGCTGCCAGCAGAGCCAGAGGAGAAGGCTGAGAATCCTAACAGAGACATAGTGTATTAGGAGATAAAATAGTACTTGCAAACTAAAAAGCAGCATCCTGAGTATTAAAGAATGCTAGAAAACATGACAACTGAACAAATGGCAATGAATAGCTTATCCAGCCAAAGGTTTCATACCCCCCCCAAACATCTGGAGTAAATCCAAGAAAACTTGCCCCTTCCCTAAACATGTCTAGGCCATAAAGACTTGTACCCATCCTATAAGCCACAAGGCATTATCCCTTGAAATGAACTGAAAGTAATTAAGCCTTGCTTCGTTTCCCTCTATGTTTTACCTGAGAGGCTCCAGTTTTGCTTTTCTTATTGTTGTTGTTTTCAGCCTCAGGAGATTTCTCTCCCTCCGAGGGCATAGCTTCCTCCTTCTTTTGATCTACCAAAAGACAAAACAAACACACAACCTATTAGACATAGCTGTTCACTTTGAATCTGCAACCAGGAGCAAATCTGTCAGGACATTCTCGCCAACCCTCCATTCTTAACTCAGTCCATATTATTATTATTGCAGAAAAGGGAGTCCTAAAAAATAAAAATAAAATAAAACGTGGTTTGGGAAACCCGGCCCACGGGGGGCTGGCGTGCGAACACCCAGAAAAAAAGGGGAGGCTTGATTGGTTTCTTGCTCTCGGAGACTGTAAGGCGGGCCGGGTGGGGGGTGGTGGTGGCGGAAAACCACCCACAGCCCTCCTCCTCCTCCTGCCCCTAAAGCATCTACGGCTACTGAGTGGCCCAGGATGCTTTAGGGGCAGGAGGAGGGAGGCGCAAGGGAGGGGAAAATGGGAGGAAACAGAAACGAAGGAGGGATGGATGTGCACGGGGAGGGAGGGCCGGGAAGGAAAGGGGGGATGGAAGAAGGAGGGGCAGAGGGAGGGATAGACCGGGGGAGACAGAGGGACCCAGAGGGGACGGGGAAGCGGGAAGGCGCGCGGGGGCGGCGGCGGGGGAGGGAAGGGGCGGAGGGGGGCTACGTACCGCTCATCCCGCATTAACGCCCGCTGAGGCGCGGCTCGAGGAGGTGGAGGGGAGGGACGGAGGGCGGGGTGCTGGGGGTGTAGCGGCGGCGAGAAGGCCGGTCGCTGCCGGAGCTGGGAGGAGCAGGCGGGCCTATTTTTCCACGAATGGCCGCCGCTGGGCTGTGGCGTAGGTGCCCGTCTCTCCTCCCGCCGTCGCCGCCTGGCCTCAGCGCCAGCGCCTGATTGACAACTGGGAGCTGGAAGAGGGAGGGGGCGAGAGGAGAGAGAGGGCGCCGGGGGTGGAGGAGGAGGGGCGGGGCCCGGCGAGGCCTAGGCTGACACCCACTGAGGAAGGAACCCAAAGCAGGCTTAAGCCTCTGAGAGAGCAGGGCGGCCGGCCTGGCGGAAAGGGAGGCGGGGAAAGGGGAGGAGCCAGGGCGGCGCGAGAGCCGCACGAGCCAGGCCCTCGCCTTGAAATAGGCCGGCCGGCCTATACAGAAGAGCTCGCGGCGGTGCGAGGAGGGGGCGGGTGGGCGTGGCTAGAGGGCGTATTGGGTGAGGGGAAGGAGCGGGGCTATTAACCGCCGTTGTGAGGTGGCGGGGGGATTTCTTGGGGGGGGGATTTGTGCGCGCGAAAGGGGAAAGGGAGGCGGGATCAAGGGCGGGGCGAAGCCGAAAGATTTCTGTTCTCCATCCGCCCCTCTGCTAGCCGCTGCCGGCGCTCACAGCCGCCGAAGCCGTTGATTGACAAGCCCAGGAGAGCCAGGCGACGAATGAAAAGGGGAGGCGAGAGCCAACTCGCGCGCCTGTAACTGACAGCGCGGGAAGGATGCGCTGCCGCAGACGCGCCCGCCCGCTGCTGGCGCCCATCCTTCGGAAGGAAGGCCTCGCTCCTTAAACTGATTGGGGCAGCCCTATTAGTTCTTCTTTTAGCTAACCTAGACCGTTTATTTATTTATTGCCTTTGCTGGGGCGCGGGGAGACATCTCCCCCCCCCCCGCCGCCGCAGGATACGAATTCAGAGGAGTTTTTTTTGGCGGGGGATAGGCGGGGCTCGAACCCTGGCTTGTGATTGGTTTTAGTGCAGCGCGCTGCATGTGGGGAAGTGTAGTGCTCGAGAGAGCCCGCGCGTGCGCAATGCTAGACAGGTGCTTTGCTGTAAATTGAACCTAGATTGGATTGAGGCTCCTTAATCTCTTGCTGCGAGCTGTCATGTCTCTGCTACACGTTGCGAGCGTGGGAGTTAACCTTGCTGTTGTTTTCTGAACTTTAGAAGGAAAGAAGAGTGCAGAATGAAGCTCATTTTGGCAGTTTTTTCTTTAGACGCAGTTGGAAGCATCTGCACCAGAAGTGGGGTACCTGTGGCCCTCCAGAGGTTGCTGTAATACAACTCCCGTCATCCATTCTGGCTGAGGCTAATAAAGAGTTGGAGCCTTAACACCATCTGGAGAGCTGCAAGTTCCTCATCCCTGCTCTACAGGTTGAATTTCTGAACAACCAAAATCTAGAATATTCTTTCAGTTTGTTTATGGCAGGTGTGGCAAGGTTCAAACCCAGAAGACAGAAATATAAAGAAATTCAAATAAGAATTCCAACAAGGGTGTAGCAGGCACTCTGGTTTACATTTCTTCATGTTCATATACAGACTCTGGAACTGTTTCTTAGTTCAGGAGATGCCATGGTTCAGAAGGAAAGTACCCATTATGTGGTAGTTCCATGACTGGATCTCCTGGTGCTTTTTCAAGCATGCAGCTGTTTGTAGGAGGGGTTTTGCCACACACACAAACACAGCATAGTAGCAGGGAGAAGGAATCAAATAGCAAATTTCAGGTCCCCTATCTTTGGGTTCCAGCAGATTCAAGCCTCTGAGGTGAGATCTGGAGAACTTGTGGCTGCAAGCTCAGTTACTGTCCTGCTTTCATTGCCACATTTACCGCTTTGAGAGCTGTTGGAAAATGCCAACACAGCACTATCCACTGATCTCATCTAGATGATCTGGTTAGCACCGTTTTATGCCCACCATCTTCCTGAGCTCTGCAGTGTGCTTAATTAGTCATAGAATCATAGAACTGTAGAGTTGAAAGGAATCACAGCCAAGGCATCTGTTACTATTAGATATTAGTCACTTGTTTCACAGATGTCTCCAAGCAACTTAAAAACATATTTAAAAACATAACCGTAAGTGCATTATAAAATTAACACATTCATTAAAAAAGGCATATAAAACATTAAGATATACAAAACATCGCCACCCACCCCCCATAACAACCTCATGAAGCTTTGGCAGCATACTAACAGCACAAACCACCCTAAATCTGGTACTGAAAAGAAGTCAGCGAAGGCACCAGGCACACCTCACTGGGGAAAGATAGGGAGCAACAACTAAAAATACTCTCTCCCTTCTTATATTCTTCCGAGGTTTCCTCAGAGATGAGATTGGGAGAATGCCATCAGATGAGGATCTCAGCTGTATGGTTAGATTTATATTGGAAGAGGTGTTTCAGAAGATCCTGAGCCATAAAGAACTGTAAAGGTCAAAATCATAATTTTGAATTGGGCCCAGAATCATACAACCATATGATTCTAGCTGTAACAGAATTGGTGTTATGATATTGGTGTTCGCCTCAAACCGCTTAATAACTGGGCAATTGCATTATGCACTAATTGAAGCTTCTGGACCATTTCCCCATATAACGCTCATTGCGATAGGGCTATCTTGAGGTTGCCAGAGCATAGTTTGTTGCAACCAAATTATTCCTGTCCAGATCTGGTCATATTTGGGCCACCAGCATAAGCTGTTGGAAGGCACTGGGCCTCAAGTAAGAGCAATGGATCCAGGCAAACCCATAAACTATGAGCCTGTTCCTTCTGAGACAGGCCTCACACCACTCAGCTGGTCAGAGGAACCACCCACTAACAGTATCTCAGTTTTGTTCAGATTAAGCTTAAATTTATCACCCTTCACCCAGTCCATTATTGCAACCAGGCACCAATTCAGTACATCCACTGCCTCACCTACAGAAAAGGAGAAGGAGTAACAGCTGTGTGTTATTAGTGCGGGTGGCTCTGTGGTTTAAACCACTGAGCCTCTTGGGCTTGCTGTTTGAGAGGTTGGCAGATCGAATCCGTGAGCTCCCGTTGCTCTGTTCCAGCTCCTGCCAACCTAGCAGTTTGAAAGCACACCAGTGCAAGTAGATAAATAGGTACCACTGTGGTGGGAAGGTAAACGGCGTTTCCATGCGCTCTGGCACTTGTCACAGTGTCCTGTTGTGCCAGAAGCGCTTTAATCTTGCTGGCCACTTGACCCGGAAAGTTGTCTGTGGACAAATGCCGGCTCCCTCGGCCTGAAAGCGAAATGAGCGCTGCACCCCTTAGTCGCCTTTGACTGGACTTAACTGTCCAGGGGTCCTTTACCTTTACCTATCGGCATACTGGTGACAACACACTCCACTCAGCAATTGTATGCAGATATTGAACAACATGGGGGACAAAAGAGATCTTCTGGCTCTAGTGAAGGCCTCTTCTGGAATGGTCTTACTACTGCCTCCTTCAGGTGGCCTTGGACTACTAGTTGAAGTGAAACGTAATTTGCACAAAGCATGTCCTACGCCAGTGATGGCCAAACTTGGCCCTCCAGCTGTTTTGGGACTACAACTCCCATCATCCCTAGCTAATAGGACCAGTGGTCAGGGATGATGGGAATTGTAGTCCCAAATAAACTGGAGGGCTGAGTTTGGCCATCACTGTCCTAAGCCATTGGAAGAAACTAGCGAAGAAGATAGGTAGTTTTTTACTTTAATAGGAAATACCTTTCTGCCCAGGTATTTCTGCCCACCTTTAAAAGTGTGTGTAGATTCAATGTGAAGAGAAGGGGGCAGGTTCATGTCTACTGTCCCTTCATGACAACTTAAATCATGACCAAAATTCCTTTGATTAAAATCACACTTGGAGAGGAGGTTGCTTCCTGCTACTCTATACAGCAAAATAGGCTAGGAGCATAGGCAGCTACTGCTGAATGTTCCAACATTCCTTAACGTAAAACCTTTTCTGAAGAATGATTGCTGCAGTTGCCACTTTTTCCTGGCAGGCGTCCTTTCCCATCAACAATTAGGAAATAGGCAGACTTCAACAGGTGATACTTTTCTCAGCATGGAGGTGCAGTTTGCAGGATTTTCTCCTGCCATGCAGCTGTTAAAGGCACAAGCATTTTGCCGAGACAAACCCATGGAGGATAAGATCCATGGCTACTAGTCATAATGGCTATATTTCTTCCGGTATCGGAGCCAGTATGCTGTCTTATAGGCAGAACAGCACTATTATGTTCATCTGCATGTTCATTGTGAGAACAACGCTGGACGTGGTAGGGCTGAGATAGGGCTCTTTCTTTGTCCTTAAGTGGGGGAAAGTGGGTACCTTATAGTGGGGTACTGCAAACTCTCAGATAAAGTATTTTGTAGCAAAATAGATTTTTGTGATTCAGTTTCATGGGTAATTGGAACTTATGCTGAAATCCTATACACATTTATTTGGGAATAAGTTCAGTTGAAGACATGGTGATACTTCTGAGTAACCCTGCATAAAATCAGGCTCTACTTGCTAGTTTTCCTTTGTGGGGACAGTTCCATAATCATCATTGTATGCCAACACCACACAGGTTTCCCCACATGCTTAAAGAGCTGCAGTGTGGTGCTGAAATGAGCTGTCTGAATAATAAAGAAATACACATTGAGGCTACAATCCTATGCAGAGTGTAGGCATGTTTGATGAATCTGTTTCAGTGGGCATAGGAGTGCTTAACTGCATAGGAGCAGCCTGCCTGAAAAAGTACCTAGGATTGGTGTGCAGTACAACCTTTTAAAACCAAGATTCTGTTCATATAATTAAGGCTTAGTACAGTTTTAATTGCCACATGAAAGCACTAGCCTAGTGGCCATAGGCCCCAAGGAATTGCATGCAGGCAACTGCACCCAATTGTAGAAATACACACAATCATAGAAGTGCTGCTGCAGGAACTCTGTTCTACTTCTGCAAGCCACCCATTTTTTTTTGCAGGCTAGTAACTTTAATGGGGGCTTATTTAAAAGGCTGACCTATACCTTGCAGTATTCGCACGCTGCTAGAGATGGGCATTATCCAACTAAATCGATCCACTAATTACCATAATGACATGCACTTGTGAAACAGAACTTCCTCTCTCTCCTCTCCCTGTGCCCTCCACACAGATCACAGATCTGCTCTGGAGGAATGGGGGGAAACTCAAAACAGATTTAAGGAGATACAGGAATGCGTGGGGAGAGAAGAGGAAGAGCTTTTCCTTTGCATAGCCAAAAGCATTTCCACTAGAGGATCTGTTTAGTCAGATACTGCCCAGTGGACAGTGGTGGTTTTTTTGGGTTTTTTTTACATTGATTATTTAAGAATGTTTTAGAACATGGATACATCTCTAGGGCTGTAAGCAGTGTTAACCATGGTGTACTTCCATGAATGTCATAGCCAAATGTTTCAAAGTCTAGAGGTAATAATGATTAG